CGGTCACCGTTTTGCTATCTGGGCTATCGTCAATGACGCTTTTTTCGGCCGGAAACTTGTACCCCTCTGATTCTCTCTCGCGTCTCTCCCTCCCACCACTTCTTTCCTCATTTTCTCACGATACACGTTTATACGTTGTTAACGAAAAGTTACTCATAGATACACCATCTCTAATCCCTAATTTCTCGCTGGTGTGCTTCGTACACGCTACGCGTTATGCTTAAAATGGTCCATCAGTCAGAACACAAGTATCCGGCCAAAAAGAATATCCTGTGCTACATTAAGCGCGTTCTAATAATTCGCTCTTCCCCGCTGTGATACAACTTTTCTCCTCTCAAGCGAATTAAAAGCAGATGCAACGAATGGATAACTTACTAATCGTGGCTGTTGATCTGTTCCATGCAACGAAGCGAACATACACGACCAACCAACCACCCCAAAAAACACAGTCTACGAAGCTTTCACTCTACAGGAATTTCAAGCTTTCCTTCTCAAATCCGATTTCTTGCCACCGACACTCTATCTTGAAAGCTACCACGGATAGAGATAACCCCTCTCAGAAGAACGTTTTTATTCGTCAAATGCTTGATAACACACAGACGAAACTATATACCAGTTTCACCGGAGATCTAGAGAATGCATCAAAGCTGGAAGAATATAGCGCGCTGTCGTCGCAGATGGAAAAAATCGAACAAGAAACTTTGGCTACTCTCTGACCTCTAATTTCTGTTCACAGATTTTTTAAAATCGCGCTATATTTCTTTCAACAAATTCATCGACATACATGTGTATATATATATATATACACGTTATATACACCGGTGAAACTTGGTATTTACAAATGAAAACGTTCTCTTAAAAATATCCGCATCCGAAGACGGCGAAGCTTGAAAAATTTCGATGGCAAAAATATTTTTGAAAATTTCAATTATCATATATTATCCATTCGATGCCGTTCGAAACGCAACAAGCTGTGTTTCTGCCGAAAGCAACCAATACCACTGCACCAGTCGGTTCTTCTCGACTAAATCACCGAAATAGTGGACTCTCGACGATACAACACAACAGCGTAAGTACTATAAGCGCGACGTTATCCTTCGTTATCTCATCTACGCATGATATTACTGTGTATAATTGTCTCGCTTCAAACTATATTGACAAACGACATTTTTTTCATCTAAATGAGAAAAAAAACCATCGGTAGTTATGTATGAAACATTTTTTTTTCTCTCCCTTCTCTCTCTCTCTCTCTCTTACTCGTTTCTTCTCTTCGCTCGTTCGTAAATCGTTCAGCGGCCCAATTGATCTTTGGCAGAATCACACGCTTTTCGATACATTACTTCGCTCTCTCTTTTTTTTCCCTTTTTTTTTTCTTTTTTCTTTCGTGCCCCTTATCGCCGTGCACGCTTATTCCGTGCGGATAATATCTCTGTGTATTTTCTTAGCTAGTTCAGGTCCTGCCCTTTTCTTTACAATCGCTCATGTTTATTTAAGATATTACCCTTCGATACGAAATAATAAAATTCTAAGTTGAACGAGTTCCTTGAAGTCGTTTGGAAGCAGTCTTTCAGCTTTTTCTTCATCTTTTTTTCTTCTCGCACGCGTTAAAACACAAAAGTCGTCGTACACATACATTTTTGCCACTTTCTTCTTACGTCTCTTTTTCACCATGTTGATCTCTCTCTCTCTCCTTTCTTCGCTCTTTTTTCCAGCGAGCGCACGTACGCCCACGCGTTTATATCTTCTCTCTTCTCTTCCCTTCTCTTCATTTTTTCCATATCTCGTGCAATTAAATGTACAAATATATCTATACACACGTTTAAAACTGATGGAAATTAGAAGTTGTATTCCAGTCTGACTAGCTATTGACCGTCTCTCCTGAAAAAAATATTGTGTCTGTCATTAGGTGTATATTTGGCGGAGGTGCTTTAGTGCGGTCGTAAATTAAAAATACGTTAAACGGCGATATCGTTCGATTTCTAGCCGCAGCGAGAATATATAAATTAACATTTAAAATTTCTACTTCGAATCTTCCGCTAAAAATTTGAATATCGTCGTTAACTGGTAAAAATTGATTTGCATAGTCGTAGAAGATCAAGCACGCAAATAAATTTTTAAAATACAATACAATTCAAAGAATCAATTTCGAGTTTACATTGAACACTCGTAAATGAGTCTCGAACTCTCCCTTATCTCGCTCAAACTGATATCTCGACGCTCAGATTACACGCATACACTTTGACGCCTGACCGAGTTTTTACAACCGCACTAATGCAATTTTTCCACCAATTATACACGTACGCGACGCGCAAACATGGGATTCTAATCGCATATAGCTACTGTCTGTGTATACGAATATGTATGTGTACGTGTATGTGTGCGCATGTATATACGTGAGCAGAATGAGCGTGTACATAAAATCGTGTATATACGAAAATCGGTTTCGTTTCGTTTCGTTTCTTTGTTCCTTTTTTGAATTTTTTAAAAGGGCGAAAGGAGTATGGGGGAACAAATGATCATTGCAAAATATCATTTCGATCAATCGTTCCTCTAATCTGTTTTTCCAGTGTATAAACGATTCCTTCTCGTTTCTAGGCTAATCAAGAAATCACCGCGCGCCATTACGTAGATTAATCGTTCTAGTTAGAGTATAATCGTTAGAGTAAATTATTACAACC